CCTTTAAGAAGAATCTTGTCTGCCATCTGCTGGACACTTTTTGTTGTGCTCATATTTAGACGTCCTATTTTGCAAATGCTGCCTTTTTGAAATTTGTTATGCTTGTTGGTCTTTGTGTCTATGCTGTAGTAATAATGATGTGATTGTGATTCTGTAATGAGTGTTTTATGTGCTGCAGAACAGGGACCTGCTGTAAAACAGCAATTATGCTGAGTCAGGCTTGATTTTTAATAATCTTTTCCTGTTAAATAAATAAATCAAATCAAATCTTCAGATAAAAAAGAAAGGATACATATAGTGTATGTCCATCAATGACATGCACATGACAAGAACATGACATATTACATATTGATATAATTAAACTGCAAAGCACTTTGGTCAACTTTTGTCAATTTAATGTGCTATTTATACATAAATTGACGTTGACATAAATTATACTTTCTTAAGCAGTAAAAGAAACATTTCTTGCTGAGCTTATCCACTGAAGTTTTGATGCTTCAGGTGGTTTCTGAGCATCGAACTCTCTGCTGCACTGGTCACTGGGAGCAACTAAGAGCTTACAGTTGTACCACGCAGGAGAAAGACCACTTGGTCTGCGAGTAAAGGTTGAGAACCTGGTTCTTTAGGAGACCCTACCACCTTAGACATTTGACAGACCTAACACTATCAGAAGCAAAAATATTCATCCCCCCCCCCGGTAAAATGATCTACATCTACTTTACAATGGTGGATAGACTTCTGGTGCTTAAGTGTTGAAGTAAAGTTTGTCTGTTTCAGAGCTGATAAAATCCCCTCCGAACCTCCTCCCTGACTAAAATCTCATTATAAATACACTGCTCAAAAAAATAAAGGGAACACTTAAACAACGCACGCTAACTCCCGATCTTAATCAATGAAATATTCACATTGAGTACTTTGTTCTGTACAGAGTTGAATATGCTTCACAAAAGTTTGATTTACTTGGACTTAGCATGCGTTGTTTAAGTGTTCCCTTTATTTATTTTTTTTTGAGCAGTAGTGTTCCCTTTATTTTTTATTATTATTTTGTAATACGTCTCACAATGGGAGCGCGCGCGCACGCACAGCATCATTCAAATGCTCGACAAGATTTGCAACAAGATTTGCAACCAAACCCAAAATGTCATTCTCAACTATTAGCATCTTAAATGATTACAACTCCCTTAAACAAACAGAACTCAAATTTTTCACAATTTCATCTTTTTCCCCCTTTTTGGGATGATTTCCTATGAGCGTAATTTGTGAAAAAGACCTGAAATAATTTATAATAATAAATTGTTCAACATCCCCTACACACATGCTGATGAATTTTATTGTGGTCAATGTGAACAAACCAAGATCCTGAAGTTTGACTTGGTGAAGGTAGGCAGTTACTCTCTGTGGATGATTGACYAGCTTCAAATGTCTTCAACTGACAGCCTCCATATTCCACAGAGGATTTCCTGGTATGAACCCACATCAATGTTTCCAGTTGCCTTTGCTCTCATGTACTCATCAAACAAAGGAAAGAGTTAAGATGCCCACATGCATGGCTGCTGGTTTGGTGGCAACAATGACATGTTTGTCAGTGAACTACACATCTACAGCACATATTTTTGACTAAGTTTTCCTTCGTTTCCCCAAAAGCTGCACAGAAAAAAATGCAGCTTTTTAATGAAGGAACACATTTTAGCATCAGTCGATCAGTCGAGTGTTCATAACTTTATATTTCCAACTTATCTGGCAAGCGGAAAATTATTGTTCTTTCTCTGTCAGTGGACAAAATGTGCCTATCATCCAATAAATCATTTAAAAGCAAAGCATTGTTAGATTTGATATTTTATAGCTATTTTTTTAATTATTTGCTGTAAATGTTACACATTTAATGAAAAATTTAGCATTCCTGGATGGATTACACACAGCCTGTTGTATTTTATGACAAGCTTTTAAACTCAGATTATCTTTTGATGAAAAATGAAGGAAATACAGGGTGAGTCAAAGGTTGCTGGACACTTTTTTTTTTCAGAAAGAAATGAGAAAACATTGGGCCTCATGCAAAAACCGTTCGTACGCACAGATTTGTTCTTAAGTTGTGCGTACGAGTGATTTAGGAGAATTTGTGGCATTCACCAATGTTTTCGTTTTCTAA